TAACTAAAATATCATAAATTACTACATCAATGCCATAGAATTGCACTATAGCTTAGTAACTAAGATGTAATTTAGTGTAAAAAATATGAAATTTTGAGCAGATTAAAGACACACCCTACCTCGTTGAAATATTGGTTCTAAAGAAAGAAATGGCACCAAGTTTGTTAAAATGGCTGTAATGTTGTTAGCATTCCTTATGTAGTATCACAATCCAAGTAGCATCATTAATATGCCTTATGACATATCATAGTCTAATATTAACTAGGATTAATATTAACTTTCCTTATTTTATATCATTACAAATTTTAACTAAATGTCTTCTTTTCACATAATCTTTAGCACAAGACTCACTTATATTTAAAACTAGCACATATAATGATTATTTTTTTTTAACATTAATAACAAGGGTGCTACCAATGATGACTGAGTAAATTATAATTATGCTCTTTTTATTTAATAGTTAATAGGCTTTGTTAACTTTTAAGGTTATTATTAGTTGTTATCAATATACACTTAATAAAAATAAATATTAGTAATTAGAATGTAGCATTTTGAACAGCCTCTTTTGGTGTATGAAAAAATGTGAATTCTACATGAGTGTCAAAATTTGAGTTTAGCTTCTAAACGTGTTAAATTTCTACTTAAAATTAGACTTATGAATTATCAAGGGACTGAGTGTAGAGTGAACAGCATGGTAAAACATGTAACCTTGTAATAAGTTCTCTTAAATATTCTCATACAAATTTTACGCAGTGCTATACAGTTCTATGTGAAAAAAAAAACCAGCTCTGTTTATGCAGTCATATATTTTCCAACATTTTGATGAATGTCTATGTATCGTTATAATTTTATTAGATATGCTCTTTTAATTGTTTGATTTTAGTGAATAAAGAACTTACAAAACAAATCCTTAAATATTTTTTGTTTACTGAAAAGTGTGGTAATATATGGTCAGTTATTCATCAGGCCTTGTGTACGTTTTTCACATAGAACACATGCATTTGTTTTACTAACTTGTGGAGTGGTGACAATCACAGCACCATCAACATTAGATCCTTTCAAGTATTGAGCTATGGACAAGTGTTCATCAGATGTACCAGGTGGTGTATCTATCAGTAGGTAATTCAACTCTCCCCAGTCCACATCTCTTAAAAACTGCTTGATCAAACCTATGTAACAAAAATTCAACAATATATCTTATAAAACATAAGTGTATAAAGCTAAAAATTTAAATTATGGAGTGACAAGGCAACTATAAAAATCAATGAATAATAATGGCAGTTTTAAAAGTTAAAATCAGAAATTATTTCCTTAAGAAACTAAAAAGCAATTTTTAAAATGATGCCCAAAAACTTTAACACAGTTAGAGTTTTTCTAAGTGAGTCACCTGCAGCATAGAAGTGTGTGAATTTTTTTATAGCAAAGCCACATCTGGCTATCTGCTGTGTCCACTGAGGGGAATCGAACCCCTTATTTTAGCATTGTAAATCTGTAGACTTACCACTGTTCTAAACTGGGGTTGCAGCATAGGAATATTGAGTATTCTTAACACTATCTGGAATTAAGTCTTTATGTAGTGTATGTCAATGTACCAAATACCAGATAAAAACACATTCTTTACTATCTAAAACCTGTATGTAATAGTAAAAGTTACATACTCAGTTTAGACAGCACAACATTTTAAGTACATGTAACTTCCACATATCACATCATATTTAACCAATAAAATAAAATTATAAAAGCTATTTTAATTTTTATATTTCTTGAAAAGTTACCATTCTTTTTTGGTCCTCTCCAAATGACAGCATCATCAGGACTTGCTAAAAGAAATCCTACTGACATCACTCCTAAGTTCTCTTCAACAAACTGCAATTGGGCAAAATAATTAATAGAAATGTTTGCAGAAATGTCATTTACACTACATGAACTTGTTTAAAATATTTCTATAAAACTATATACATATTATATGTTCAAGTGAATCTCACTAGGAATCACAGATGCTGTGTGTGTACAAAGAAACTCTAATGGTTGAGAAGCATGCTTACAGTTATACCAATTCACTATTTAATGATGATGAAGATTTTTTATCATTTGATTTTCCAGAAGAAATTATGGTTTAAAGAAACTTACGAATATTCTAGCATTTTTTTAAAAAGTGAGCAATTTATTACTGATAAATTTTAGAAATATAAAAAAAAAAATTCAAGGAAAACAAGACAGAGATGCATATAACAAAAGTGCTATGGACAAACAAAATATATGAAAAAAAGGATTTTAGAGCTCAATGAGTTTCTCAAAAGCTTTAACCTTTTCAATATTCTTATAAACAAGTTTGTATTTGTTTCAAAAAAAAAGAAGAGAGAGAGAGAGAGTGAGAGAAGTGTAGAGCGAAGTAATTTAGTCCACCCAAGCAGACACTCAATTTTTCTTTTGGAAGACATTTTGATGATGAAACTTTGCACTGTTTGATTCGTTATGATAACATAATTACAATAACATTCACTAAATATCTTTTATAAACTTCTTGTTTTTGTCATCACCATAAAATATAAGAATTTTCTTTAAAGCTTACAACAGGAGACCATCCTGAACCACTCTGATGAACCTGAAAAAAAGATAAGATAAATTGCTACAAATTACATAATAAAGGTACATTAATCTTTGTAACGACTTAGTAAAAGAAACCTGGTTTTCTTTTTAATAATTGTTACTATGTCACAAACTACAGCATAAATTTCAGGCCAATTTTTCTATTCTAATATCACTTAACATACTTATTTATTTGTTACCAACTTTTGCACAAGTCTTAGCCTATTGTTATTTCAATAAATATTTCATTATTCTGTTGTTATATTTAGAAAAACTTTAATTAGTGTTATTTTTACATCTTGTTCTAAACATAATTGTTTGCTATGAATATAAGCACCTTCTCAATTTATTTTTAACATCAAATGGTAATCATCATTATTCTGTTACTAACTTTTGGTCAAGAATCATCTCAGGCTTGTGGTATAACATAGTCAATGTCATTTTTAAGTCATAACGTTTAGCACAAATTTCAAACATCTTACACTTACATTTGCACAAACAGTATTTTGCTTTATGTATTAGACCATACATACCTGTTCTCCCTCTAGTCCCATAATTCTGGGAATGGATGGTCCACAGATATCAATATCAAGCAGACCTACCTGACAAAAAAAAACACAACAAAAACAAATGTTGTTTTAACTGCTTAAATTTCAGTGAACTCGGATAATGTGCTGCAAGATCTTTAGAATGAGGAAAGATAAATTTTGGTGACAAAAAATTAAAATAAAGAAGAGATACAGATTGTACACACTCTGGATTATCAGAATGTAATGTCAGATAGAGATAAAAGCTGAACAGAAACTCCAGTAAGCATTAATTCTTTGAAGAAAGGAACAACATATAGATGTAACTCATGTGACTAAGGTTGTAAAAATGTGGGACAGAAAAACCTCTTACAAATACAAACAATGTAGCTAGGGAAACACGTCAAGACAATTGGGATGCCAAACAAGACTAAACTGAGATGCAACAACTTAAAAAAACAACAAAAACCTCAAGTTGGCACAAGACCTTTCTGAAAACAACAAAAATTAGTCCTAGAAAGGGGAAAAAAAACAACAACAAAGCATTATACATGGCTTCCCAGGTTCTGAATACGAGATTCTACCTGTTGGAAAATATAAAACACACTAGTAGGGAAGTCTGTCACAAGGTTATTTACATGAAAATTATAGAAGTGGTCTGGAATGTAAGGAAATACCACAAATACTCATCTCCACTCTGTCCTTACATCATGTAACTACAAATGTCAAATCTGCCATGTTGTCATTCAGTATAAAGAAAGATAAAAAAAACTGCTTCATTCTCATGACAAGAAATTATCAACACTTCTAAGAAAAGTATCATCTAAGAAAGGCAACAGGCAGAAAGATGAAACACCAGTTCATACATCGTGTTTGTAGTTTAATTGTTGTACTAGTTTGTTGTAATATTGTTGATGTCATCTTACTCAAAGTTTTGAAGTTTTTGTCATAATATTTAATATTATTGTTACTAGAGTGTTAGACATTTCTAGACGTTTTTTCTGTCATGTGTTATAAATATATACAGAGGGCAAGTAAGTAAGAATTAAGTTAGTGAAAGTAAAGTTAGAATACTTGATTGTCAGTTTACCCATAACAGGCAATTTCTAAGGTGAAAGTTTCACAGTTTGTATTATAATAACAGAGATAAAGAATAATAATTTATCTTGTCATATTGTGTTCTAAAGTAATAACTGAACCAGCCTGCATGGACTTTGATGAAAAGGAGACAATTACTTAAAGCTCTGGATATAACTACAGTAACCAACAGTTATAGTGGTGATTTTGCAGTGATTCTCATAGCTTGTATTGTAACAACAGAGACAGAGGAGAATACTTTGTCTTGTCAAAGGGTGTTCTAAAGTAATTGAATCTACCTATGTAGACTCTGACAAAAAAATAAAAACAAATTCAAAGCTCTGGATGCAACTGTGATAACCAATAGTGTAAAGAATCTTGTTTTTACATATATTTGACTTGTTTTGAATACATTATTTTAAAACAAGTGGATTGTGTGCTAACCATTTATTGTTGAAATTTATTGCCAACAAGTCACAGACACCTAATGCAAAGAATTGTGGCCCTATAAAACCTGATAACCCATAAAACATTTTGATGTTCTTAACTTGAATTTTCCTTATTCAATCATTTTCACACACACCATTTAAGCTACATTTCTTGCAGGCATTATGTGTTAGATCGATAAATCCAGGTCTATTTGAAAAAATTTTCTGTGGTAAGACAAACTCTTGTAGATGTAACTTTAATAAAACACAATAAAATTTAATAAAACTACATGTAAAGTAAATGATAAAGTAAAGTAGTGGTATTTATAATAGTGTACAGAATATGAAACAGTTATGAGCATTCAGTATATGACATGGTTTTAGGAGTTCAAACAAAGAAAATCACAAAAATGAAGAATAAAACCAATGGTACGGGAAAAAGTAGCTAAAAAAGTGTTATAGCAGTCTATGAAATGT